CTCCCGCACGCGGCGTATAGCCCAGACATGGCGCCTTCCGATTACTACCTATTCCGGTCGCTGCAGCATTATTTGGCTGATACACATTTCGTGAAATTTGAAGAGATACGAAAATGCATTGATGACTTTATCGCTTCGAAGCCGGTGAGTTTCTATCATCAAGAAATTCGCAAGCTACCCGAAAGATGACAAAAGGTCGTTGATGCAAACGGGGAATTTCGCTGATTAATATTTTTTTGTTTGTTTTTGAATAAAGATTGAATTTTACAAAAAAAAGCTCAGAACTTTTTTGTACATCTAATATTATTGCGGGTTTGGACATTGAATGTCTTACAGCTATCTCAAGCAGCTGATATTAAAAATTATTTAAAAAAATAATGAATTCGCGAAAATGTATTCTAAAATAAAGAAGACTATACTGAATAATAATAAAAAGTTATTAGTAAATGAAAATGTGAAAATAAGTATTTTCGAAATGAATATTATATTGTAAATTTGAATTTGCAATAATGTAATTATATAAAGTATTATTTCTAAAAGTATTATTTCACGTTACATTATGTCATAGCATTCCTATACACTTACATTTAATTGTAAATGTAATCCTTCAATCTTATAGCATAAGAAATTTATTTGTACATTGCAAATTCGAAAATGCATGTAAAACTATTACATGTCTTCAAATTATCTGCAATGATAGTTATAATTTTACACATAACTTCTTTTTTATTAATTATTGATTACTTAATGAATATCTAATTATTGATTTAATTGATTATTTAATTATGATTGCGTAATAAATCTTTTATTATACAATTTATAAAAAGTTATGTGTAAAGTTACAACTATCATTATGGGTTTGAAAATTCATTGTAATAATTTTCCGCGCGTTTATAAATTTGTAGTGTGCAAATAAAATTAACTTCTTTTGTAAGTAGAATTACATTTACAATTATATGTGTATAAAAATGATATAATTGAATGTGAAATAATGTATAGAAATAAAAGAGAAAATATGCTATCTCGCTCGTTCTTTTTCGTTCTCTATCCCATTTACTCTTATGTGTTACGTCCAACCCGAGGTAAATATATTTATATATATTTTTTTTTTTAAATGAATGGGGCTTGGAAGGACGCTCCAAATATCCTCTCGCAGGTGGCCGCGCTGAGGCGTCCCTACGAGTCGGACACACTGTGCAGAGCCACGAGTGCGAGTCAACGTCTTGAAAAAGACGCTACTTCGACTGCGTGACGTGCGTCCGTCGGTCCGTAATTTAGGCAAGAGAATTTAATCTCTTTTGCCAGGGATAGGACCATGCGCGAATCTTGGGATGACGAGGAATGAAAGAGGGAGTGAATAACCAAACGATAAATAGTTTAAATTTTACATATAATTAACAATTTTAAGACGATACAAGGTTAATTACGTATCGAGATCGTATACAAGATCGTACATTAGCTACAAGATCGTATCATATATTTTTTTTTCGTTGGAATATATTTATTGACGATATATTTATAAAAATAATAAACAGGAAGGGTGTTACGTACAGAAATTCGTGTGTTCTAGAAATCGACGGGTGTATTGTTTGTATAATTCTATTAATCTATTAATTTGGTATTTTTAATTTGTTATTAGTTTATTTTAAATTGTATGTTG